TTATGGCGCTTATTCTTTGCATTGATACGCCTAAACTTATGATTTTTGATTCTCGACCTCGACACCTCGCAACGCATTATGCCTTTTGGAACATTGCTTGTGGCTGATCTTTCTGCTGCTTATCTTTAAATGAAGTTACTGGTAAGCATTCATAAGATTCATAAAGTTTGAGCTTCCAAACTTGGGATCCTCTCAGTGTTTCCATTACATGTTGCACTATTTTAACTAGATAGAGCGATGATAATGAAAAGGGGGGACACTGATAATTTCTGCTTAAATAAACACAAGGAAAACTAAGTATGGAGGCTGTATTGTCTAAAATACAGGAGAGAAGAGGCGAGTTCATTGATGTTTGTCCAAAAAGGAGCCCCTTGAACTCGGGAAGTTTATTGTTTTGCTTTGAAGAAAAGGTTAATTACACTCTACAAGTTGTTGGGATTCAATTCTGATTTCTTCCTTCATCTCTTTATAAATTCTTCGAACTCTTGTTCAGTTCATCTGTGTTTACGTTACATAATTTCCTTCATCCATCAGTGAACCATTGTCTAGAGTTGTACCATCTTCAACTTCATCTTCTTCTTCTGGTTCACTTTCAGGATCCAAGCTCCATTATTTATTCCTCCAGTTTCTTCATGGAAAGTTATTATTTCTTGTTGCTTCTCTTCTTCTGCAAGCAACATTCTCTAGTGCAGAAGATTTCATGGATGCTTCATTATCTTCAACTGTTGCCTCTTACATTTCGTGCAGTTCAGGAATTTGCTTGAAATACACGATTCATAGATTTTTTGACCAAGGAAAATAACACAAACTGCAAGGAAGAGATTTTTTGACATGGCGAATTTCCAAAACTGCCTCTACAATAATGCATAGAATCATGATTGTAGCACTTCTTGATGGAGTTCAATTTCGAATGCTATTTTTAATCTTAAATTCATCAAAGGGCCACTCCATCACCACACACTTGTCGTCTCCCTGAAGGGTAGGAAATGATGTCTATCACAGCCTAGTTGATCAATATATCGAATGATCAAAATAAAACTTCATTAAACGTTGGCCAAGAATGTTTTTACTCGCAGCATATCAAATCGGCTATTATCACAGGGTCGCAATTCATGAAGGTAAATCATATTATCAATACATCCTGATACAGAAGCTCTAAATATGATTCTTAGTATCTCATGTATTGGGGTATAAAAGAAATCCAATCTGCACCACCCCATCAAGAATTATAATATAAAGTTGATTTTTCAGCTGGTTAATAAGACATGTAAAGGAGGCCAAATGGATGTCACCAAAATTTGAAATGGATAATACATTTGGAGTTTACAAGAGGTCTTACTGTTGAACCATTCCCTTTTCCAAAAGCATATCATAAACCCTATCTATTTTTGTAGGCTCAATTTGGAAGAAGGAATAGGCATGGGATTTCTGATTAATATTGCCGCTCATCATTTGTATTGTCATGAACTCCAGCATTCTGAGATAATGAGGGGCCGGTAACCTGATCTCACGGCACAGCTGTTTCTCCTGCCAAGATAAGGCAGTAAAACCAGAAAATAATAATCAGATAGATACCATGAAGAGTCTTTGTTTACCGAATGTTGGAATTAAACAGTCCCAAGGATAACCAAAATAGTAAGAATAACACAACACAACAATTTTTCGACCTTAGGCTCGGATGTTCACCACAGAGTGGCTAGTCACCCGTTGAGCAT